GCCGTAGACAATATGTAAATTAAGGGGCACGGCCGTGTTCCAGTAAAGCTTCAGAAGAGCAGGTGGCGGGCTGGATTTGGTCCCCAGGCTGCAGTAGGCTGACCCCTGCTCTAAGCAAACCAACCCACCTTTGTATTTCTTGGTGAACAAATGAAGCTCCTGCTCTCTCCCTTCATCTGCACCTGGTGGTGGGTCATTCGGGCTCCTCCCCTCATCAGGAAAGCCTGTATGTTTTTCAAAATCAACGTGCTGAGAACTTAGAGGAATCTTGTCTATTTTTCTACTAGTTTGTGAGCTCCTCGGGGTCAGGACCACATCTTATTTGACTTTGAACTCCCAGAATATGCAAGGGCCTTGATAGAAAATTGAACAACACCTGGTCTTATCCTGAAGACGCCTACAGGCTGGTGGGGAGGGCAGACAGATGATCTCTGTGTTCTGAACAGAGATAAGCTCGGTGACAGGGAGCAGGCAGGGAGGGAGGAATCAGGAGAATGTGCCTCCTATAAACTTAACAGTGACCTTTGAAAAACGTATGGAAAGGAGAGAAGAAAAAAAATCTTAATTTTTACTGAATTAATCCTGATACCTTACAGCACTGAAAAAAAAAAACCTGATGCACTGGAAATCAGTTTGGCAGTTTCTTAAAAGCTAAACATAAATATACCGTCTGATCCAGCAATTTCATGCCTCAAAGTCTACCTGAGAGAAATGAAAACACACAAAGACATGGACACACAAGTCCATCGAGGCATTTTTCACAGTAACCCTGACTGGAAACAACTCACATGCCCATCAACTGAGGAATGATTAAACAAAACGTGGCAAGTACACATACAATAGAGTAACATTCAGCAATCCAAAGAACGAACCTCTGGCACGTAGCATCCACGCTACAACACGGATAGATCTTGAAAACAGGCTACGTGAAAGCAGCCAGACTTCAAACACCACACGTTCTATGAGTCCATTTATATGAAATTTCCAGAAACGACCAATTGAGAGTCAGCAAGCACATCAGGGGTTGCCTGGGGCTGGGAGTGGGAGTGGGGGTTAACGGTCAGTGGACACAAGGGAACCTTACAGGATAGTGAAAATGTTCTAAAAACAGAATTATGGTGATCATTGTATAACTCCATAAATTTACTGAAAAGCATTGGATCATATGCTTTCAGGGGATAAATTTGAAAGCATGCAAATTATACCTCAATAAAGGTGTTATAAAAACCAAACAAAAAAACTCTGGTGCCAAACCACTCTCTACCTACAGCGGAGAGGTGATGCACGAGGGGGAATGGAGGTGGAGGCTCCTCGCGAGCGGCAGGTGTTTGTTGTTGCAATAAAACATCCAATGTGACTTTCCCTGTGTTCACTTCTCCATCCCAACCAGTTCCCCAAGCTAACAACTCTTAGCTTTCACTGGGCATCATAATCCTGAGAGGATAGTACCAATATCATCCCCATTTTACAGGTGAGCAAACAGGATCAGAAGTGGAAGGTAACTCGCTCGAGGAGCCACCAGGACGAAGTGGCAGAGCTGGAGCTGGACCCCAGGCCTGTCTGATTCTGACACCCGTGTTTTGCCACTACCCCCTCCTCTTTCTAGTTACTCCGCTCCCCACTGACTCTGCCTTGGGAGAAAAGCATAGCAATGCTGGGGAAGGCAGAGCAAGGATGCTAAGCTTCCTTTTCTTGCTGTAGCAAATCCTGCCTTTCTTTTCAGCCTCCAGCACCAGTGCTCCCAGGAGCCGCCCGCACCACTAAGGAAGAAAGGGCTGGATTTCCGTGAGCAGCACGCTGTGGTCTGGCAGCACTGGGCTGGCGCTAGCGTCAGTTTCTGTCTGGAGCGTGTAGCCCCAAAAGCCTGTCTAGGGTGTCCTGGGGATGAGCAGAAACAAGCCAACCATCAGGGGTAGAGATGACCTTGGGTTCCGCCACAGGCCCGCCCAGGTGAATTCCTTGTTCGAGCTTCTCCTCAGAGCTACAAGTTTCCAGGGAGTGTTGATCCACACGGGGGCCCCAGGACGCGCCTGTCTGCCCTGTACCCCGTGCACTCTGGCCTGGGGAGGGGGTGGCAGCAGCCTCCTGACCTCTGGCCCGATGCAGAAGAGCTCACGGTCCTGCTCTCCCTCAGCGCGGCATTAACCTCTCTCCTTATTCCAGGCTGAGGCTCATAGGGGCCGTGCAGCCATTTGCGGAAGGTTTTCCAAAGGCTGCCTGGTGAGCCCACAGCCTGAGCGTGCTCGTGAGCCTGGAGGGAGCGGACCCCACACACGCAGAGGCTTTTGCGGGGTAAGCCCGGGCCTGAGCACGGCCAGCAGAGCGTCTCCTCCGCTCTGACCACGCACACCGGCCTCCTGCTGCTACTCAAAGAAGCCAGGCCTGTGCCCTCCTCCCTGGCTCTTGCAAATACTGTTCTCTCTCCACGGCACGCTCTTCCCTGGGCCAGTCTCACTCTTTCCTTCACCTTCTTACGGCCTTTGCTCAAATGTCACCTTCTTAGTGAGGCCCCCCTAACCACCGGCACTTAACACTGAGACCCCTGACCCCACCTCCCCTTCCGTGCTCCTGCTCTATTTCCCTCTGTAGCACTGACTGCCATCTGCCTCCCTGTTTTACTTACTGGTCCATCTCCCCACTGGAACGGACGTGCTTCAAGGGGAGGGAGTTTTGCTTGTCTAGCTCCCTCTCGGCAGTGCCTGGAACAGCGCTGGGCACATACTAAGTGGCAACCAGGATCTCACGAAGGAATGAACTTCCGAACCACCACGGCCCAGCCTCCGAACAGCAGCTTGGTGGCTACCACCCCATGCCAGAGACGCCACGGCAGGCTGTGCCAGAGCCCCTCGCAATCCCACTCAGAGGTGACATGAGCCTGTCGAGAAGAAATCGGTTAAGGAACCAGTGAATCTGCCATATGCGGGAAGTCCACTCCATGCCTCCCCCACAAGTCTGCAGAAAACCGCACTGTGGTGCCTGTCCACGCTGGTGCATTCTGTCAGCCCTCATGGGCCATCTTCCTGGGAGGCTCTCTGAAGTCTTGGGTGGGCGACGATGCTGGCTGGAACATAAAGAAGCTATCTCAGAAGTAAAGGGGGAGCGGCGTCAACCCGTCCCTTGCTCCAGCTGGATGAAGACCTCTGAGGTCATCGGCCCTGCGGCAGTTGAATTTGCCAGCGATTAAGGTGCTACAAATATACCCTATCTCCTTGCAGTTTCAGAGTGATGCAGATGCAGGCTTAAGAAAACCAGCCTGGATGGAAACTTCTCCGAGACCATGGGAATTATTCCAAAGAGGGGCTGTCTGGGCTAAAAGTATGACTCTGGACAAGGAGGAAATGGGACCCCAAAGCCACTAAATCCCCAAGTTTATAATTAACAAACAAGCG